TTTTTTTTTTTTTTTGCTCTCGTTACCTCTATAATGCTATTTTATTTATCTATTATAAATTATTTTTTATATTCATACCTAATGTCTTATAGAGGTATTAACTTTATTTTTTTTGACAACATACATATTTAACTAATTTATAAAATAGAAAATGATGTACCTTTTAATATTTAACAATATATTTTAGTATCTAAAAATATACTATAAAACTCTAAATTTCATTCAAACTAAATTGGGACAAAATTCTAGATAGAAATAAGGGATGAATGTAAAAAATACTTTATAATAGATAAATGGATTCACATATGAAACTAACAAAAGCCAAAAATTATTTCACAAAAATAATATTATCTTAAAGTAAATCAATTGGCTAGTGTTAAATCAATCATTTTGTATATTTCTTTTATACTTGTTTCAGAATTTTAATAAAATTATCAAGATGATTTTGACTACTGACCACGTGAAAAGACCAAACATCAATGATGTTTTAGAGTATGTTACTAGTCTTGAAGATTCTCTTAATCAAGATATTGAAAGAGATCCTTTTGTATAGTTTTACTACTAAAAAAATAATATCAAACTTTTATACAAAAGTATGAATATTTAAATTTTCATAATAATCTTCTTCCTTTCCTTTATCCCAACTTAATAACAATAAAATTAAAATTACCTCATGTATAAGGTTTTTTATACTTTTATCAATTCTAGGGTTGTATTGTTAACTCGGGCATAACAAATATGTAATCAAAATGACAGTTACACTTTCAAATTATGAATTAATCAATTCTTTCATTGAAAATAAATGTGCAGTTTTAAAGTCATCACTCGAATTAAGGAAAAATTGTTCATACTATTAATATTTCCTTTTCTATAGCAAATAAATGAAATAAACAAGAATTTTTATTATATCCAGTTTTAAAAGAATTATTAATCTTTTAAGAAAATTTTAAAAGAAACTTTGCTCTCAACATAGCTTTTTCCTAAGTAACTTTAATTTTTTTTTTTTCAGTCAAATTTTATTGTAAAATCAACTTCATTTTTATAGTTGAAAGAAAATCGGAGTATTGAATAAATTTGCCGCTACAGTGTATTCCTGGTTAGCAAATTATCGTTAAGTTGTTCCTACTGATATCCTAGAAACGATCGTTGTTGATAACGACCACAGTGGCCAAATATCGTGCCACATTTCTTATGCAGTGGCGTGAGTTGTCGCTATTGAACAGTTTTCACTTTCCGATAATAACAGGACAGTCACAAACCGCCCGTGGCGTGTAAACAGTCTATGCGTTCGCTCATCATTTAGTCCGTCTTACGCATTCATTATTTTCATATATTTTTACTTAGTATTACTTATGTGACCTGGAAAATTTGCTAATTAAATCAATTTTTCTTCAAATATTTGTATTTCGTTGGTTTACTCACAAAGTGTTAATTGTGTTTATAACCAACCGGTATCGCCGACAAGTATCTACGCATCAAACTTGCAATCTTTGATAATAAAACCATCATTTACAGTGGTAAGAATTCATCTGTCATACTATTTTTTTTATAATATTTTGAAAAATTATTCATGATATCAAATATATGGCGCGGCTGTATCTATTTTATGATGTAATCTTATTTTGTCGCGAAAACTAGATTTCCCTTGCTGAATTTTTATTTAAACCTGACTAGTATTATTTTTATACTTTCTATCTCCGATGTGTTAAAGTGTACCTGTATATTGTCATTTATGTAATCAATTACCTGCACAAATTTACGAATGGAAAGTTGCTTAATTTTACTTGTTACGATGGTTTGATAAATGTTTTGACAATACATTGTTTATTTGATGTGATGAATTTTTTAACAGTAAAAATTATCGCAAGTTCTATGACGACTAACTGTTGTATTTTGGGAACTATTTTTAGTTACAGGAATATTTTAAAATCCTATGTTAATTAGTAGTTCAGCAAATTAGGATACATCTTATAAATTTTAAGATCCAACATAATTATTCAAAACTACTGAGTAAAACCAAATAAAAGTACATTAATACAATGTATTTATTTTAAACATTGAATATTTAAAAAAATACTGTAAACATTTTACTACTTAAAAATAAATGGAACAAAAATACATTTATATGTTAATATATATTATTTTTTTTGTAAAGTACAATTGTATAGAAGTTATTTGATAGTAAAATCATTATTATTTTATTTGATCGACAATTTTAACTATAATCTTTTTTATCCATTGCAGATCGTATTTAAGATTTTGACGGGGGGAGGGGTGAATTTTACAATTATTAAATGAATTTTGACGTCCCAATTTTTTTATATAATAAAAAGCCATTTATATAATATTGATAAGCAAAATAAAGTCTTATTTTTTTTTTATTTTACATTTTTCATCATAGAGCTACGTTTTTTTTTTTCAAGTTTATGTTGAACTCATGATGATAATCTTTCAATACACAAAAAAAACATGAAATATCATATAAATCATTACAATAAATACTAGTATAAGTTTTTTTTTTTAATATTAAATTTGTCCTTAAAATTGTATAGGCTCTTGCTTCTCCAAAGAATCCCCTTAAATACGGCTATTGTGTTAAAAAAAACTAATGCATATAATCTGTTTAGATAAGTTTTCTTTTTCAATATAAATGATGAAACTACTAATTCTACTATTTCTTTCAATAGTTTTTTATATTATAATAATTATTAATAATTTATGTAATGTTAAAAATTTTGACCAAAAGGAAATTATGATTTTATTACCCATAGTAACTTTGTTATTATTAAATAACTTACAACCAGTATTAAATGCACGTATAATGTAAAATATAATTCGTATGTAAATGTATACGAATAATCATTAATTTAGTTATAAAAATATTAATAAAGAATAATTGTTTAATATAATAAAAATTTAAAGACGCTCAAAGTTAACAATTTTTTTTATAAGAATTAAAAAGTTTTAAAAATAAGTGTGCCTATAAGAAGTGACTGTAATGTCCGGATACTACCCGCGAACTTAAAATATTTAATGTTCTAAAAAAACACAAATAAATTTTTTTGATTTTGGACAAGAAGCTGACCTTGTTATCATTTTTTTAAAAAACATTTTTTTATAACAATGAATTTTATTTTTATTGTTGAGAAATAGGGGAAGGCACTTGTACCCCCGTATCCCTCAGTGAAGCCTTGAGTTACGACATGTAAAAAAGTTTAAACACTTCTATAGTGTAAAGTATTATTTAACAAAAAAACTTTTAACAGATACTCAACATCAAATAGCTGTTGTTTAAAACTATTTATTTTCAACAATATATACAATAAATATTTTATTATGAATGTTTTAAGTTTATTAAAACAAGTACATGAAAACACAATACAAGTCTAGTGTTTGAAGTTGTAGGTGTAGGGTTAAACGCGCAACGGATATGGAATATAAAAATATTTATTAAACTACAATCAATTGTTTGTAGATCGCGTAGTTTCGAAAACCATAACAATTGAATTTTTTATTAAAATATATTGAGATTATTTACGAATTATTTTTTAATCATAATTGTGACTAATTCAATTGATTTTTATTACAAAATGATCTTTAAAAAAATTTTATGTTCGTCATAACTTTTTTACAATGTCATGGAAACTAATTAATTAAAATATAATAAACAAATCATATTCCGCCAAAAACACTATTAAATAACCGTAAATATTGGCATCTGTTTATTATTTTTATACCATTTGTGTTCTATGACGATCGGGCAAGATAGTATATGAAAGACCAGCCACCTCTGACTTTTTAATGTGGGTGATAACCTTTAAATTCTTAGAATGTTATAAAATAATTGAAAAAAAAATGATGAGAAGTATTTTCAAAATAGGGTATTAGAAATAAAATGGAGTAATATTGTACTAGTTTGTATGCCATTATTTATGTGAAACAAAACTTTAAAATTGGATTAGTTAAAAAATGGTTAATTTTTTAATTATGAGTTATTTTAATTTAGATTTTATAGTTTTAATTTAGAAGTTACTTTTATCATAATAGCAAATTTCTCGTTAAAAATTAAATTTTTTCATATATTAGACTATATTAATTTGTCATTATTACTGATATGTTTTTACAAGTTGCAATTTTTTTATTTCAATATTTATAACTTGAGTTTTGTAGTATAAAAAAATCTTAATTTCTTGTGTCAGTGTGTTTAATTTTATTTGGTTTATTATAGATATAAATGTATGACCATTGTGTATGAATGCTAAACAATTAAATCGATTTTTATTTAAATATTATATAATGTTACAATCCTTATCTTCAATAATCTTAAATTTTACTCCAATTTTATGTTATCTACGTAAAATAATTTTATTTGTTCATACGCTTTCTGACTCTGTATATAATTATAATGTGTATTATAAAGGTTAGCAATTTGAATTGTAAAATATATATTCCTCGTGCAATCCTATTTGCTTTTACTATAACACGTTTCATTCAAATCGGCAAACCACAATTACTATTGTTTAATACTAGTAGTTTGAATGATTAATAGTTATTAAATATTTAACTATATGAGTTATATTACAGGTAATAACATTTTATTAATTTAATTTCAATTAATTTTGGAGTGAAAAATTGTTCAATTCAACATATATCTTTTCATTGATGAAAGCATTTAACATTCTTCTATTATAACTTTTGTATCGTTTTAAGTATTCCAACAATATTAATCCTATATAATATATAATATACTAAACTTTTATTTCAATGTATTTTCATTTCATTTTAATAAAAACAATTAAAATTAAATATATTTATTTGTTAATTATGTGAGACAATCTCACGATAATTAATAATATAATTGATAGCACATCATTAATAATACAAAATTAAGATAAATATATAGTTTATAAAATAATTAAACTAATCTATGAAGATAAGATATTTTAACTTAGATTTAAGATAATTATTAAAACATTAACATTAGAGAAGTTAAATAACTCAAAATTATATTTATTAAAATTAGACATAATCCGTATGACAGGCAAATAATTAATATAAGTAGCATGAATAAGTTCTATATTAAACAAATTAAAAAATCTAGTATTAAGCGTATGACATAAAAAGTAAATTTCTCTGAAAACTCATAACAATGATAAATGTCATTCATAACATTAAAAAAAGGTAAAACCACTTAATAATCTTCTAGTGTATTAATACAAAGAAAACTACGTATTGGATCATTGGATTAATGTAAGATTTGTTAACACATTAATTTTAAAAGATAATAATCTTAAAAACGATTTTGAATACCCTCAAGTGTTGAAATATAACATTTTTATTAAGAAGTCCAAATAATGGAATCACGGTAGAAAACGGAATGAACAATGAAAGATAAAATATTAAAAAAAACTCAGACAATTTCTATTAATAGATCCTTAAATAAATAATTATCTTTAAGTTGAATATGGAATAGTAAGTGGACAAAAAAAGGACTATTTTCTAGAGGTATGAATATTGGTAAGGCAGGATGAGTTTTATCACAAAAAACTATGAATAAACTGATTTATTTACTAATATTTAGGAGCACAATAAAGAACTAAATCAAGAATAAAATTATATAAATTTAAAATACCATACAATTTTTGTAATAATAATTTACATTTGTAGTTGTATTTACCAAAGATTTATTTTATCTTATGGCTATATTATATTAACTTTAAACAATTCGATATTCTTTGTGAGAATTGTGAAATTGCGTAACTACATTATTAAAATTAATGGTTTGATATTATACTATATGTGAGATTCTTAAAGCTACAATTATCATATTTAATCAGATAATTTGTTAGACGACAACATAGAATTAATATTTATAAAAAGTTGATCATTTAGTATTTTTGTACTTAATATAAATAGAAATCCATGCATTTATTTAAATAAATAATATTTATTATATTAAACTTATGATATTGCATATATGCCAAATATATTGATTTTTAATAAATTTTAATAATGGTACAGTTATTCAAAATCTTCCATCATAAGCTCTATTACATAAGCCGTAATTTACCATACATTTGCAATAAGAGGACTATATAAAAAAACTTCATTTATTTGTAATTAACCTAATGTATACAATTTATTCCTATTATAGGAGGTAAACCTATCTTGATATCCCAGATTTTCACCAACTATTAAAGTACACTACTATTGATTTTAGAAAGTAACCAGAGCATTTTTTTGTTATTGTTAAAAATTTAATTGATTTCAAATGATTAGAAAATATTTTTCATTAATCATAAACTATAAGACCAAAATTAGCATTTTTTTTTTTTTTTTGCCATAAATATGTTATACTATTAGTATAATGAGTTGTAAATTAATTCAATTAGCCTAGAAATCACAATATTTAAATTACAATGTAATGTTAATAGAAGAAATTATATGTTATGTTCATAAATATCTGTTAAACAATAGCATTCCCTAATTTTTATTTGAAGTTTGTCGAAAAAATTTA